TATATATATATATATATATATATATATATATATATATACACTTACTTTTATAATGTAACTCCTTTTATAATAAATAAGAATTTATTACAATATAAAAATCATTTAATGAAATAGTTTAAATTTTTGATGAAATATAAAAATGTTAAATAATTACTATAGAGAAACTACCATGTAGATTTATATGTGACTTCAAATTAAAAAACGAAATTTAATAATGAATTTTCATTGAAATTTATCAATGTACAAATGATAAAATTTAACCAATATCGCAAATTTTGAATAGTTCAATTATAGTTAAAAAAAAAACAAGAAAAAAAATTATTGATTATGTTTAATATTATTAAATTACGCAATGTTTATTTTAACATAAGAATTTTATTTATAAAATTATTATTAGGAATACATTATTAGGAATATTTATATATATAACTTATTTTGAATTAATAAATATTTGTGACAAAGAACACTATTGATTACAAAATTGTACAAATTTTTTTTATATAAATCGAAAATATAGATACAAAGATCATGAAAATATAAATTACTATCAAAAATAATTTTAAGAAAAATAATCAACAAAGATAGAAGAAAGAGAAGAAGAAAAATAAAAGAAAAAGAATAATAAAATCGTTTTTAAAATCTTTATTATATAAAAATAACTTATAATAAATAAATAATAAATAATAAATAAATAACTTAATTATAAATAATAATTTGAAAAAAAATTAAAAAAATTAGAAAAACTATATCGTTGAAAGAGACAATATTATCTTTGAAACATAAACCGTATTTTGTTTCAAAATGTTAAGTTATATATAACTATCTCACGGTAAAGAAGTATAAAAGAAACAGTATTCACTCATTGCAATATTGTGAAAATTATTATTGCTTTAATTACTTTTTTAAACTCTCTAAAAATTATGAATATCATAATTAATTATATTATTAGAATTATTATAAATATCATTACATTACATTATAATAGATAATTATATATTGTTCTGATTTTATTAATATTATTAATATATATTAATTTACTATCATTTATTTATTGTAATTTATCTTATACAAATAAAATGATAGAACAATTGATATATTTAAATATTTTATATTTAATATTATTATAATTAAAAAAAATATATATTCTACTTAACCTACATCGGATTTAGTCTGATAATATATAAATATAACTGATATAAAATAATTCTTATGAAAAAATAAAAAAAATAATAAAATTTCTTCGTTGTAGATTTTGTTCTTGAAAGAATCGAATTTGAAAATTTTTTTACTACAAATGAAATTGGCTAATTCTTAATTGCATATTAATATTGAATGAATTATCGATAGAATTTGAAAAATAATGATGAATTTATAAAAATAAGCAAAAATACAGAATTAATTTTATTTCGTTTAAAAATTAGTTTTCGAAAATTTTGTAAATATTAATAATTAATTATACAATTTTTTTGTATATGTTTAATTTTTCAAAAACAAAGATTTAAATAAAAAAATTTTATTCTATATTTTTATTTATTTTCATATATAATAATCTCTATCGATAAGAGTTTCTATTATAAGCAAATCAAATGTTTTTTTTTCTTATAGTTTTTTGAATTTTTTAAGAAATTTTAAATAATATTGGTGATTCCTATAAAATTTTGCAATCATAATAATAAAATTTAAATGATTTTATTTTTCTTTAATCTTTTTCTTTTTTTATTTAAGCTTAAATGAATTTTTCTATTCAATTTTCTATTATTGGAAAAATCGAAGAGAAATGCATTTTTTATTTTTGCAAGAATATTCAGACACATTGAAAAATTAAATTTATCAAATTAAATTAATATTATGTTTAAGTTGTATGAATACAAATAATTAAATGAACAAAAATAACAATATATACTAAAGAAAAATTTGTTAAAAATGAATAAAATATCAAATATATTATTGATAAAAATTTTTTAATATTTTAATTTAAAATATATTATAAAATTAAATACATATCAAAATCAATCTTTAATTTTTATAAAAAATTGCTATTTTTATTATTTTATTACATATTTTTAAAATATCTGAATTTCTTATTTCTGTTTTTTATTTTTTTATTTTTTAACATTATTTTATTATGTCAAATTAATAAATAAATTTTGTAAATTTTGTACAATAAATACTCTATCAAAAAAATTCATTCAATAAGAATCACAAGAATCAAAAATTTAAGAATTCCATAATTAGCAAAGATATAAATCATTAAGATTAAGCATATACTAATATTCGAATATTTTTATGAGTAATTATATGTAGATATGTAAATATATATTTACATATATTTATATTTTAATATATTTTCTTATTTAATTATTAATATGATTTAAAAATATCAAATTATGTGGCTATCATTTTGTCTAGCACTATAATAAAAATATGGAATTAATTATGAATACACATTTTCGTCATTTTTCTTTTTTTTTTCTTTCCGCTTTTTGATTTTTTTAATCAAATTATATTCTTTAATATCATTTTTAATTAAAAATCTAATTTTATTATTAGTTGAATAATATTTCTTCTAAGTATTTCTTCTAAGTATTCTTCTACAATATAAATATTAATAATACAATAATAATTAATTAAAAATAATTAATTATTTAAATTTATTATCAGCATATTCCATGCATTATAATATATATTTTCATAATATAAAAATTTCTGTTTATTAGTTATCGGATATATATTATGTTTATAATAAAAATAAATTGTAATTACAAAATAAAATTGATTTTTATTAATCATATATTAGAATTAAAAAAAAACTAAATTATGAAGATCATATTATAAATTTATTTTAAATAAAATTTTATTTAAAATTAATAAGGAGAAGTGTCTAGTGATTTATGTATAAAATTATATGATAATTTTAAAAAATTTATAAAATTCTTCATATTTCAATCATTGAATAAAAACAAAGGTGATCAAAATACATAGTGATATATTTCAAATTTATCATTCAATACATTATATATGATGACTATATAATAAAAAATATTGACTATATAATAAAAATATAATTATATATAATTTTATATTGACTATGTAATAAAAATAGTATCAGATAACAAATTACTACTATAATATCTCAAATTACAACATGAATATCATTTTTTCATCTTTTTTCTTTTGCAATTACATATATATATATATATATATATATATATGTTCTTCATATTTACAACTAATGTTTTTTTAAATTTACAACTACAACTAATGTTTTTTTAAATTTACAACTACAATTAATGCACTATTAATATATCATTTATATTTGAATATACTATTATTTTATATTTTTCAAATAATTTAAAAAAGCCATGCATGCGATGAATGTTATAATTTAATTAATTGTTAATTAATAAATTTTTTAATATCTATACAAAGTTTACAACAACTGAAAAAAAAATTTTAAAAATCTTCTATTTTTTATTTTGTATAAATAAATCGATAAATCTTTATTATGATTGAAAAACTAACGAATTACTTGATTTTGAAATAACAATGTTCTATGAAACAGAATGTTCTATGACAAAAAAGAGTCATTGTGTATACTTCTACAAACTATAAGATAAAACAAAGAAACTTTTTATTGTTTCTGTCAGTTTTTCGGATCATTATGCCAGCCAAAACTGGTTTCGCGAATATGCGGACAGCTGGTGGACACTAACTAGTCAGTCAGTGATCCTTTCATTACCGAAACGTACATTACATCAAATTCAAAGATCTGAAAAATTTAATTAATATATTATCTCAAAAATTTGTAACTATAACTATTTTTATTATTTAAATTAAATTTCTTTGTAACAATATGATTCGAAAATTCATGTTTACCGATTATATTGTTATTTTTGTTTTATCTGAATATTAAAATGATTTAATTCATCGTGTTAATGTGACTTAAATAAGATAAGAAGAATATTTCCAATATTTAAAAATAATTATTGCATATTGATATATGATATTTGATGATAATATATACATTAAAGTAAAAAAGAAATTAATAAAAAAAAATACACATATATAGATAGAATAAATATCGATAAATAAAATGAATAAAAAATAATCGACTTATGTGATATATATACATTAATTAATTATTTAATATTATAGATAATCATTTCAGAAAGTTTTTTTTTTATTTTTCTTTTTAAGATAAATTACATAAATTTGCATACAGAAATATATATATTAAGTATAAATAATAAAATAGTCGAAAAGAATTCAATTCGATAAGTTCTTTAAATTATTTATATAAACTTTTAAAATTATAATAATTTTTTACATATAGCATTATAATATAGAATTTATAATACTAGTATATTTAATATAGTAATATTAAAAATTAGATATCAAGTTAACATTGTTATCCTCAATTTTATTTTTTCAATGTCATATAAAGGAAGATTGCTTTGAACGAACAGAAGAAAGGTTACAATTTA